CTAGTTAAAACCTGTGAATATGTATACATTCCTTTATATGGATAATTAGCTTCTTTATGTGTGGCGCCTCCTGGATTAAGGAGGATTCTTCCATGCAAATAAGAAGTGGGACAGACTGGTAAAATTTATATCTGGAAACAAAAATGCCTCTTTATATAAATATATAGTATTTGTTTAGAGAAGCTTCTTGTTTCATTGGCAAGTGTTAAATTCCTTGACAGCTTTACCTTTTATTAAAAATCTGTTGTTCATTTCCCATTGTTCTTTTAAACAATGCCTATACAGAAACAATAAGTGAATGAGAGAGTTTAAAGACACACATGTTTAAATAGACCAGCTAAAATATAGGTCTGCCTTGGAATTGCTTGCTCTGTTAAAAACTAAGTGTTGAAATCTTGATCCTCAAAGTAAGGATCAAGATTGTCTTCAGTAGGGCCAATATTTGTCTTCAGTGGGGCCAGGGTTTCACCCAAAATTGTCTCTTTCAGTTGTAGGTGGATATTTCTCAAGATTGTCAGAGACTTTGCTTCCATCTATTAGTTCTGTTACAGAGGATAATACAGGGGTTTGATGAACCTTGTCTGCCTATACTTAAGAACGGACACATCAAAATTAAATTCCAGTTGTTTTATAACAATAGCCATATTAGTTATAGATCATGTAAATCTGAAGTTCAAATAATTGTAAATGTTTTTTAAGTGATCTTTATGCAGCCTTACATTTTAGAATTTCCTAGAGGAACTGGTTTATAATGGCAGGATCTGATGTTTCATATCCTTTTTCTTAAGAGTTAGGGGACCTTGCAGTAGGCAGGGGTTGCAGAATTGGATCTTTGTTCTTGGGTTTACAGTGTAGCTAAGGTCCAAGTTCTACAAGTACTACATAATGTGGTACTTTAGGCAATCTGAGTACTCATATTAAAATCACCAGGACTGCTTATAGTGAATAAAATTAGATAAAGCCAAAATTTCTAGCTTTTGTAGAAAGGTTTCTGAGAATTTTTCTCTTTTCATACAAGCAGTGCAGGACACGGACTATCTTTCTCATAACATTTTTCCATCCATAGTTGACCTGAGGGTGGAATAGCTTATCTTCCTAAGCCACATTCAGATTTATGAACATGTCTCTCATTTTCCAAAAGTATCAAATGTTTCCTAAAATCCACATTACTTTGGTGGTCCAAATGTTCTCATTTTTGCATGTGCAGATTTCCAATATAGTGGTAACCATGATGCTGAGCACTTATCCAGAGATCTCATAGAAAAATAAGGCTTGAAGGGACCTCAGGAGGTCATCTAATCCAAACCCCTGCTCAAGGCAAGATCATCCCTGACTATATCCCCAGCCAAGTATTTGTTCAACCTGCACTTAAAAACTTCCAGTGATGGAGATTCCATAACTTCTCTTGACTGTATTTTTTTAGTTAGAAAAGTTCTTTCTAATATCCAGCCAAAATGTCCCTTGTTGCAGTATAAAATTGTTACTTATCCTCTCCCTGTCTTCTTTATACTGATTCTTTTTTTGTATTTAAAAATTACCATCAAATCCCACCCCACTTCTCTGTTCCAGACTAAATAAGCCTAGTTCTTCCATCTTTTCCTAGTAAAATGATTTACTAGGAAGCACTTAGCAAGGCAATGTCAAAGCACTTTGTAAGCCAGGAAAGTATCATTATTCCTGCTTTACAAATAGGAAAACCAAGCTATAAAGGATAAAATGACTTGCCAAAGGTCTTTTAGCAAGTCAGTGGTAGGGTAATCACTGGACATCTTCTCCAGTAACTTTAACCTCTGGACCGTTCTGGCCATTATTTGGTCAATGGATTTAACAGCAAAAAGAGACACAATCAAATAAATTCTGAACAAAGCAAGCTTTGTTGTTTCTGCAAAAAGAAATGTTGATTGAAATCTGCTGTGAGTTGACTGATACATTTATATTCCTTTTAATCACGTGATTTTTTTATCATATCCCATAACATTTTCAGCTTGTACATGCCCTTTTTGTGCATGAGAAAAGCATGATCCAGTTTCTTTCAAATATACTGCTTTATATCACCAAGAAGTTTTACTTCAGCAAACTTAGGTCTAATACTTCTGAACCATACTGCATGGTCTCTATGTGCATGTGCTTTTGAATTATATGACTACCCCTGCCTCCTCCCCTTTCTATTCGCTGGCTCACAGCTGAAGATATTAGATACCACATATCTTTTATAATAGCTCTGTCTCTTCAAAACCCTGACCATAATGTAGTCTTGAATCTTGCAAATATTGCACATGTGCTCAACATTAAGTATGTGAGAAACTCCACAGAAGTTACTTATTTTACTCATATTCTTAATTTAAGCACATACTGTAAGTATTTGCAGGATCAGGCCTTATTTAGGAAAAATTTACATTCCCATGGTATTTATCCTCTTTGTTTGCAACACTAAAGACTCCAAAAGGGAGTACATTAGCATTTCAGAAAGACTGCATATGAAACTGAAATAATTTCCAGCTTTATTCTACTGATAAACAAAAAAAAGTGAAAAGTTGGGGCATCATACTGCTTCTATTGGTTGCCAATGGCAAAACTTTCATTGACTGAATTGTAGGCCTTGTCAATGTTATAGAGTCCCTTGTAACTGAAATCCTTGATATAGCCTTAAACGGTTTTACAAAGCCTATGGTGAATGGAAATATTTTAATACATTCTTCTTTTTAATAAAAACTCTTAAGCATACACATGCAGCAGATGTAGGTCTGAATCTTTATATTCCACATGCATTCCCCTGCAGTGTTTGCAATCCAAACATTGCAGCTTGTGTAGTACAGGAGTGCTGAAAGTGATTAAATTAACTGTTCTAATTGGATTGTCTAAAATAAACAACAGGTAAAAATGTACTTCATTCACTTTTAGGTGTGTTGTTAGAAATGCTGGTCATTAATAATATCATACATAACCTGAGAACGTTTCAGGATCTGATGCAAAGCCCACTACAACCAGTGGGCATTTTGCCATTGACCCTTAAATAGCATAGCTTTATAGTGCACTTATTAAAAAAAAGTTGGCAGTAGCATAAGCTATTTCCTTACAGTGATATATTTCTAATTTCCCTTGTTTTCCTGGTTCCCTTGTTTCCTGGTTCATAGCTGGTTGTATTCTGGAATGACTTTCTTAAGATCCTCTAAATATATAAAACCAACATAAAAATAGTTAAAGACTTACAAGGGGATTCTGTGTAATACCCATTACTAAAGTCCCTGTAAAAAGGTAGGGTAGAATCCTGTTTTTGAGTGCTTATTTGTATTTCTTCTGATCTGTCTTGTACCCTGCTTTCAGAGACTCTAAACCAAGCCCAAAGAGCTGCTAAAGACAGCTGAGTGGATGAAGAAGACATTTTTAAAAATCCCATTGTTTAGATTTCTGTCACTGGCTATGAGAATACTTAATTTCTTTTATCTCTGGAGTGTTCATTATCATTTAAATTTCATTTTACATTAATTGATCAGGGATTAGTGAAGCCATTATGCAAAAATTAGAATAAGACAAGCCAGATGCGATGAATAATTCATGATGCACAAATTACCTTATATTTCTGGTGTACTTTCAAACTTGCCTCTGACTTCTCCGGGGTTTTGAAATGACAGCCTGCGCTTAAATTAAGTAGCTTTTTGCCTGCTTGGATGTCACACTTCTGGCCCTCCCACCTCCTTATCTCCCTCCTCAGTTCTGGGTTTTTGTTTGTTTGTTTTTTTAAATTGAGTTGAAACAAGTTTTGGGAAACCTAGCTAGCTGGAACACGAAGGGCCAATGCAGGTGGCCTGCGAAGGAAGGGGAGACCGTATCAGAGGGAGCTCAACCCTGATGAGTCCAAGTGACCCCACGGAGCAGGCGGAGAAGTCCCTTGGCACCGGGTCACCCGGGCGTCACTGCCCTGCCCGGCGCTGCCCTCCGCAGCGGAGCAGGGGACCGCGAGCGCTGCTAACTGGCTGTCGCAACCAGGCCGTGGCCGCTAGGTGGCAGTCGCTGCCTTCCGTGCCGGGAGCCCCCGGGGGCTGCGGCGGCCGCTCCCCGGGGAGCGCAGGCTCTGCGCTCGGGTCAGCCCGCCAGCCCGCTTGGCTTGCGCGGGAGACATGCCCGGCCCCGGGGCGAAGCGCAGCCTGTTCACCTGTCTTCAGCACTGTTTCAGCACCCCCCCTCCCCCGTACATTTTATTTCTACCACTGGACAGTTGTTGTTGTCCCATGAAAGCTGCGGCCCCACCCCTCTGCACGGACCTTTCATCTGGGGAAGTTTTATGACACTTTGTAAATGTGCAAAGTTTTTAATTAGACTCGCCAGACAGCCCGAGGCAGCACTAGCGCCACGAAGTCTTCATGCTGCTCTCTGCTTTACAGCACAACAAGCCGCTCTACTCCTTTGAAGACAATGCAGACTATGTCTACGATGTCATGTGGTCACCAGTGCATCCCGCGCTCTTCGCCTGCGTGGACGGGATGGGGCGCTTGGATCTGTGGAACCTGAATAATGACACCGAGGTGAGTGTGTGCGTGCCTGCGTGTGTGCGCGCGCGCGGGGCGGGGGGAGCCCTTAACCCTGTGCGGTCTCCTGGGGAGGGAGGGAGGGAGGAGACAGAGCCGCCTCAGGACCCTGCCTGTGGCAGAGCGCGGCTGCTCCCACACACTCCCCTCCTTGTCTCCTCCAAGGGACGCCTCGTGGCACTGCCTTCCCCTTCGTGGGAGTCTCTGGAGAGGGGCTCAGCTTTCCCATGGGGGGGCTGGGGGGAGCGTCTCTCTGAAAGGCAGATGAATTTCCCCCTTTTGTGTCTCCAGGCTCCTGGTGTGTGACATGCAATGAAATGTGGGCTCGGGGGGGGGGGGGG